AAGAAGAAGAAGAAGAAGAAGAAAAAGATGATGAAGAAGAAGCCTAGAAGCAGACTAGAAGAAGGAAAGGCGTGATGATGCGCGGAAAGCTCTATATCTAACAATAAGCTTGCAAAAAGTAATATGGCGCCAAACCATTGATGATGACTTAATAAGTACTGATTAGTTCAAATGTTGAGCGAGACTTTAGGATTTAGAGCGGCTGTAGTGGAAACCATATTTCATACTGCACATTTGTTATTCTAGCCGTTTGGCATACCCTATATAACACTATAAGATATGCTGGATGGCATCAGAGTCTTGTCGAAATATTGTACTGCAATAAATAGTCATTGCATGTATTATATATTATAGGATAATAGTTACTTAACGGCGAGTAACTCGAAAACTTTAAGACGACAATTAATAGAAAGTCAGAACCCCAACTGGCACTTGATTGTGTAATTTGGTTCCCTATAGTTTTAAATCGGTCTTCTCAACGGCTTGTTTTTGTGTCGTGGATTGAAGTGAAAAGTATGATTGAAATCGTGTATTGATTGATCGACTGTAGTTTAGTTAACAGGAATATGAATAAATCAGTTCAAATAAATTGTATTAATATAATGAACATCGGGTCGATAATTAGAAAGATTTAGAGGAAGATATATATCAATTTAAACCTGATGATTATGCCTACCTGTTCGGTAACTGGAACGTAAGCTTTACTTTATCGATTCAGGGAATGAACATGAGCAGCTGATGGAAGGTGTTATCTTGTGCTATCTTGCGTATCAAACTAAATGCGTAAATAGATTATCAAAACACCATCAGTTCATTGGTGTGTGACGYATTTCTTCAACTGCGTACTTACATTTGACTTACTAGACTTCACAAATCTGTCAAACAGAGGATTGAAGTTCCCTGAAGTGAAGCTTCAAGAAACATTTGAATCAAAAAGTCGCAGTGTTGACCCAAAAGTTGAATTTGTTTGTTTTGAATCTTGCCTACGTGGAACAGCAATGTTAAGGTCCACTTGTTCTATTAAAGTGGAAATACGAAAAATGGCHTTTCGCTTTCCGTCTATAAGGGTTGGCTAATTTAATAGAATTCTAAACATTCGTGGTGTAGATATTCGTGTAGTTATTAATAACCTTTATTTTAGGTATGATGCATCGCAATTATACATGATGATGGCGATGAACAGCATGATGAGGATGATGATGATTCATGATGATGATAATACATAATGGTGATGATGGTGATGATGATGATACATGATGGTGATGATGATACATGATGATGATGATGATGAAACACTAGTGATGATGATGATGATACACTAGTGATGATGATGATGATACATAATAGTGATGATGATGATACATAATAGTGATGATGATGATGATACATGATGATGATGATGATACACTAGTGATGATGATGATGATACATAATAGTGATGATGACACATAATAGTGATGATGATGATACATAATAGTGATGATGGTGTTGATGATACATGATGATGATGATGATACACTAGTGATGATAATGATGATACATAATAGTGATGATGACACATAATAGTGATGATGATGATAATACATAATAGTGATGATGATGATGATACATAATAGTGATGATGGTGTTGATGATACATGATGATGATGATGATACACTAGTGATGATGATGATGACACATAATAGTGATGATGATGATGATACATAATAGTGATGATGATGATGATACATGATGATGATGATGATAAACTAGTGATGATGATGATGATACATATTAAGTGATGATGGTGATGATGATACACGATGGTGATGATGATACATAAAGAATCAATGATAATAGTAGTAGATAATCGATCGTGAGCCGGGTTGGACATGATGTCAGTGTAGAAGATAGAAAGAGGAAGACTATGTCAATACTTCAATGTAAAGCTACGAATTTAAAACTACTCTATTATCTTCCAGGATTAGTTCTTGTTTTACGAATACGATAAATGAAGCATGGTACTTGTGATATGACTGTCAAGGAGGTATTTATTTTTACCTCACGTACAGGTGGCCTGAAATGGTGCGCGTTTTGATGATTAGCCTAAAAACGTGTGGTTTATTCATTGCTTCAAATTAATACCATGGATTTCGAGCTCTTTACTCGCCATTGTTATTCATGTTGTCATAACAAGTTATTTGAACATTCGCAACAGGCTGATCTTTGAGGCTCTTACGTTCGGACAAAAATTGAAAATGAAAATTGAATGAATGTAAGATTACGGATAAAACGCGTCAAACGCTCGATTTAACTTCTTGATATACAACACGTGGGACCATGCAACAAAGACTTAGAAATCAATCAAAAGGACCGGTCCGTATTGATACGAATTTTATTATACGTCGCGCCGGATGTTTAAGTTTCTATATCATACGTACTTGTTGTATTTAATACACCCACAATGCACACAGTCTAAACAAGTGCCTGCTCATTCTTATTCACTTGTTGTATTCAACACACCCACACAGTCCCAACTAGTAGCCACTATAGCCATTCTTATTCACTTGTTGTATTCAACACACCCACACAGTCCCAACTAGTAACCATTAGTCATTCTTATTCACTTGTTGTATTCAACACACCCACACAGTCCCAACTAGTAACCACTAGTTATTAATTTAATTAATTTATGTTCCAGGTACTCCAAGTCTAATAATTAATGAAAATGAGAAGTCATTCCAAAGCCTCCAATATCGGACGGGAACTAATTGCTTGGACTTGAAATCCCGTCCAGTCTTCATTTTCGACTTTGAAATATTACATAAAGTGATTTATTTATCCCTTTTTCATGCTCAGTCTGTAAATTTCGTTATAAAGGATTACCGATGGCATGTTCACTGTCAGTTTAATTTCCGATACCAGTTAAGCTTCAACTAAAGGAACCCCGAATCAATAGTTACTTAGGACTCTAATTGATTATTGCTTYACGTGTTTTTTATGATACCTGGGCGTTGGTTCCATGAAAATAGCGGCTATCTGGTTCCCAGCGCGAATTTCTTAAAATAAATAGTCTTAACTTCTGTTTTCAAAAGTTTGAGACTGAATAGCACATTCAGATATCGGGGGAGATACAATGAATGAATTACCCCCAAATATTTGGTTAACTGTTCAGTAAGTACTTGTATATAACACATAGTTAACGTTGGTAAAAATAATAATAATAATAATAATAA